TGAGATTTCAATAGTTAGTCGTTTCCTCGAGATAGAACGTAGAAAACGCTTTTGTAATGGTGAGTCAAAATTAAAATATATTATATACCCTGTGCAATACTTTCTACAGAGTCCAGCAAACAAAGATTGATATTTTTGTTTGATAGGCAGTTTTTCGCTTCGCTGAGCTTCGACCTCGTTTTCAAGTGTTGCCCGAAAAATTAGTACGATTTCGCATTCACTTAACCTCTTTTTCCCTTCTTTTGAAGTAACGATTTTTCAGTTAACCTCCGTGTCTTGGTTTTGTTTATAACCGATTTTTAGTGAAAATAATTTAATGGTTAAAGATTTTTCATTTAGTATAATCTGCATAGATAACACGTTCAAAATATGCGCGATTTTATTTTGAACACATAACAATTTCTAGAATATCCAATCAGAAGACTATAGCAAACAATATCTAATCAGAAGACTATAGCAAATAGCTAATTATATAAAAATCACTTTTCTGTTTATAGATTATGATCTCAACATTTTTTGATAACGTCAACTCTAGGAAATTCCGACGTCACTTGCTCCTTGCCATCTACAAATAAACTATCTATATGACATGCATGACGTCAGCCAGCTAAAAACATACTATGGAATCATCCTATCTTATTGAAATGCATGACGTCACCGGCGTTAATGTATTCCCCCGCAAGATAATGAAATTCCCCCGCAAAAAAACCGCTGTATCCGGTGCCTTATCCACTACTCAAGTAGTAACAAAAATGAAGAAAACAGGCCGCAAATGGGAGGCTTTTTTCAGAAAACAAAAGCACCGTTGCAAACGCTAACAGAATGATTAACAGAACTCCCCTGCAAAATAACAGCAATAGGCAATATCCACCAAAACCTGCTAACCACAGGACACAACAGTCGATGAATTGTACGCATATCTTCAAAGCTGGTAAACGAACAAACAGGGAAGACCTGTACAACTTCCATAAAAAGGCTGGCCAGCTGAAATACAAAGCGGCATATAGTACAGCAAGGGGAGTTGCGGCACAAAAAAAAAAATGTCACCAGCGACACTAGATCAGAAGTGCGGATAAAATAAAAGCTAATGGAAAAGTGGGCAAAAAAAGTAAAACCAAAGAAACACGAATAACCCATCGCGTATAACCTTTCCATAAGAGGAAAATATTTTGAAAATAAATTTGAAGGCCTCCAACATTTAGCCAAAATCAGCGGAGGAAGTTTCATATAATTAGGATTCGCCGAGAAAGGATCAACATACATACAAGCGCTAGGCTTAGATTTAAATCCATGACAGGCCATGTACAATCCCTCACTTCTGTCGACACACATGCACGGTAACACAATAAAGAATAAACCGCCTAAATAGAGGGTCACAAAAAATCTCATAAACGGATGGGTCAAGTTAGAAATGTCGGAAAAACCAGAAGTTATGTTTAAAACAATAATTCCAGGTGCGATAAGAAGGATTAAAAATGCGATGAACAGGAGTCGGACGACAAACATAGTGACATAGTTTTGATGACAAGTACATGGGACGGTTGAGCAATCCTTGAAGAATACATTGTTCCCCACCAGACCTCGAATAGTCACTGGACTTGCTCCTTTGAGCACAATACATCGAATGCCACTTTCCATGACCAGTGTAGGGGAGAAAAGACAAAGTAATGCTGGTATATAATACAAGCAACCAATACTGAGCCCAATCAACAAGACTCTGACTACGTGTGGCCATGGATTTTTGGTAATGAGTTCATAACCCTTCTCTTCGATGGTGTTTGCTGCTTCAGTTCGGAGGTCTGTCGGGCTTTCCAGAGTCGTTGGTCTTGCGGGCTCTAAGCTGCAAAATCCTCGGATTACTCCTCCCTCAAGGTAACCAAGAACGGCAAATTCCACATGCCTTTAATTCCACGAGAAAAGCTAGAAAGAGTACTCTTTGCCAGTATACAAATCGAGATGGCGGCTTATTTTTCTGTTTTTGCTTCTTTTGGCCGTTAAGAGAATGTTTTAATGAAAGGATTTTTTTTATTAAAGAAGGAGCATTCACGTCCCAAGAATATTGGTCTTTAAGAGATCATTTAGTTTTGTGTGAGAGTTCAGCAGCTTTGCAAACATTTTATTACAAGAAAAATAAAGGCTTCCAAAAACCCAGAAACGCCAAAAGAATGAATTTCGAAATTTACCCACGTTTATATCCTGCCCAATACTGCATGTATATCCTAGCCCACTATAGAATAAAGTTATCGACAATGAGATCATTTATTCGATTAAATTCCTGTCTGAAATCAATCAAGTAATTATTAAAAACTGAATCATTGGATAATGCAATTCTAGCATTTTGATTGGCTTAGCCGTTATGGTATATGAGCTATAATATCATAGGTGACGAATTACTCCTTAATTTTGGAGCGAAATTTCAGCGTTAATTTGTAATTTCACATGTAAAATTACAAAATTGCCATGGCAACCTTCCGTACGTCTCAGTGTCAAGATGGCGACGAAGTTTTAAAATCTCATGAATGAAGATGTCAGGGCACAAAAAGACGCTTTAGAAAACCTGAACACACGAAAGAGCACATCAAGAAGGATTCTAACAGGTATTTTGTCCAAAAACCCTGAACTTAAGCCAAGTTTAAGCTTTAAACGTTCGAGAGAGTGCAGGAGTTCTCGATCGATACGATCCAGGATAAACGTGTCAAAAATCCAAGATCGCTAACGTAATTTGTCACCCATGATATTAATAGGTAATCAAATGGTATACTCGAGAAATTAGGGAACGCTACGCGCCTCGTTGGCTATCTATCATCTCATATCCAACGCGCCCTCGTGGAATAATTGTTAATTAGTATGCGGTGTAAGCGTAGTAGTTGGAGGAAAGGCAAGCGAGTAGAAGTGACTCAGTGCAGTCAGTGCCATGAGTTAAAGGATCGGTATCTTTCCCAGGCTCCACCCAAACTTCAGGATGATTTATTTGCTTGTCAATTAACAATTGATGAATGAGGCTGAGTATCTTATGAAGAATTATGGACGGCCGAGGCGGATAACACCCTCTGAGATCTCCATAATTCTTCATACGATACGAAAGCCGAATTCAATAATTGTTTTATTATTCATTGAAAATGATTCCTAGTTTAAAAACAAAGCTAAAACATGCTTACCTCCATCGATGTTAAGTTCACCTTCGATATTGCACGCTTAGGGTTTTTCAGCTCCGCAAATATTCTCTAAATAGTAGATGTCGCCCTTCGAGTTGTGTTCTTGCTGTTCTTGCCATGTTTTTAGCTATAATTTCGCCTAGTTCTTACTCTGGAAACGAGTGAAATGTCCGCCATTTTTTGTTTTCACAACCAAAACAACTCAACCTCGTCCCCAGGTCTTCTCGGTTAACGGTGCCTTAACCTGCAAGAACGCTGCATTTTTGACGTTAATTCCTCGTTAAACACAAAGTTCTTCCAAATTTGGTCATCAGTAACTGGTTATAGTGAATTATGCGTGTGCTTTTAGCCAATCAGAATCGGACAAATACTTTGAATGAATAATAATGCAAATTAATGAATCAAAGCCAACCTTATGCAAACTAATAAGCACTGAATAACTTAGTAAGATAATTATTATAGCTGTGCTTTTTTTGGGTGAGTGGTAATTGTCTATACTGTCTTTCCGTACCAAAAATAATTTTTATTAATGAGTGTTTCTCAACTGAATCATATCTTCACAGGTGTACAACTTTTCAACAATTGCAAACATTGCAACACTTGATATGATCCACTTGATAATGATGTTGGATTTAAGATTTGGTACGTATTTTGTTCATGACACTGATTGAAGGGTTTTATGACCAGCTATTGGCATAGAGGCCCTCAACACAACACTGTTGGATGCAATAGGTTGCAGAATCGCATTGAACTTCTCCTTAAACGGTGTTGAATGTACTTCAATGGCATTTGATCAGGGTTGAATGGTTTCGATGGAAACGGATTCCGAATGAAATAAAACACAACCCATTGACGCGAATTTCAGTGCACCATGTTCACACTTTATTACACTGTTTTATTCTCTAACCAAACTGCAACCGGGTGAACGACGACTACCCATAAATTATAGTCACCATCATCACAGTGTACTCAAATTCACCCAACAACAAGCACTTGGTGACTGAACTTTTTTTGATAATCACTATGTAACTAGTAGCAAGGGCATTATAGATCGCCAAAAAACTTATTTCACCATAGCTTATGCTATTACTTGGAGAAATGCATGCGAGCTCCACGTATCTATTACTAAATCGAGTTCTAACCTTGATTAAGGTATAAAGCAGTTAATAATAAAAGACCAAATGAACTGTTTAGAAACTTAAGTTGTTAATTTAACTCGATACAATCACAACTATACATACTAATGATACTGAAAACTGCTACGTATAACTGAATTATCGATGTCTTGGTCAAGATTTTAAAAATTGACTTGACTTTGGGTCTGTAATTATACGATTGATAAACAAAATCGCGGGAGTCAGATTTGTTTAATCACGAGTATGATTACAGACTGTGCGTATTGGATGAAACAAAGTCCTCCAGTTAATTCGAATCATTAAAGAATTAGAATCAGGATCATTACAATCTCCGAGAAAACAAATGAATTTTTTTTTGTGAGAGAGCTTTTAATACCAACTATCCAAAATTAGGGAATATAACACTGGCAGAGACACTGTCCAAATTTACAAAAACGTCCATTTTGGAAAATCGCCAGTTTGGTAGGGTAAGTGGTTGTTAATATTTATTATGGTTATTGTGATAAATTCTGTGATTGGTGGATTTAGCTGCGTACAATTAATTTGATACCCCTTACCTCGACCTTGATTATTCTGGATATCACAAAAACGTCATCCAATAATTGTTTATTGGTTCATTTATGATTAGTGTGAAATAGCCAGAGAGTCAGTTTAGATAACTACTGCTTACGAACATTCTCGTCAGACTGAGTTTATTTACAATAAACACCTATGTGTTTACTATCTCGGTGTTCTCTTCATTTTCATCAACTTGTAACCTTACTTCATCGGTACCAGCACCGGAATTTTCCTGCCCTTGATTAGCTCTTGGAACTCTGTTCAAGTAGGCTTCAACAATTTTAGGAGCTTTCTCTTCGATGGCTAAAGCCTCCATTCGTTTTTGTCGTTCTCCTTCGAAGTACTTGGAGACGATCTTGGGAAACAACCCGGTAAAAACTGCTACAATAGTTTTCGTGACAAAATTAACATCAACATGTAACTGCATTGTCAAATAAACGACGAGAAATAGGAAGGTCAAAATGAACGCAACCTTCAAAAACAATAAACAGAGAGCTTCTCTGATGGGCTTAACCTCTTCGCAGGCCATATCGAAAAGCTCCTTCGGGATTTTAACCATTTTGCGTTTGCTTTCGGAAGGATCGGTTGTGACGTTTGTGTCGTTTGCGCACAGTTCCTCCTGGGAGATGTGATCACTTGTTTGTTTTTTATAACAGTAGAAGATTGCAAGGGAGAGATCGTGGTATCCGTTAGTGAATGAGCTGTAGGCGCTCATCAAGTGGTAACAGAAAAGAAGAAAACAGGCCGTATATGGGAGACTTTCTTCAGGAAACAAAAGTACCATAGTAAGGGCTAAAACAGTGCATAACAGAACTCCCATAAAGGCAGAAGTCCAAAGAATATATCCACCAAAACCGGGCAAACAAATGAAACATACGGCGATGAAATGAACGAATTTCTTCAAAGCTGGTAAACGAACAAGCAGAGAAGACATATACAGCTTGGACAAAAACTCCCTCCAGCCAGTCGATTGCAAAACGATATACTGGGGACATGAATCAATAAGCCCGTTCCCCAGTTTCAGCAGCGATGCTATAAGTAATAAAATAATAGCAAATGGAAGAGTGAGGAAAAAAATGAAAAACAAAGGAACTCGGATAACCCATCGTGTATAACCTTTCGGATTGATTATTTGAAAATACCTTTGAAGGCATTGAACAAACCAACTCCAACATTTCATCAAAATCAGTGGTTGGATTCGCATGTGGTTGAAGATCATCCGAGGAAGATCAACACATAAACACTGAGAAGGAGGGTTAGGTTTCAATTCTCGACAGGCGAAACATTTTTTCGCTTCTGGTGATACTCTAGGCGGGCATAATAAAAAACAAACTGCCATAGTATAGAAGATGGCTAAGGATACTATATGAAATGGACCACTAAAGAGCAAATACGGACGCATCACCCTATAACCAATAATTCCAGGTATAGCGATAAGAAGGAGTAAAAACACCATAAACATGAGACGGAAAATACATTTTTTTCCTCTATAGTACCTTGAAGTAGATTCGAATATAGAGCAATCCTTGGAGAATAAATTGTTACCAAGGAAACCTCGAATGCTTACTGGACTTGCTCTTTCTAGGCCAATATATCGAATGCCATTTTCCATAAATAGTGTAGGAGAAAAAATACAAAGTAAGGCTGGACTATAGGCAAAGAAAACAATTGACGGAAGCACGATGATAAATACAACGTAATCTGGAAACCATGAAGGCTGAACATCCTTTTTTTT